AGGAGGGAAGAAAGATGAAGAACCGGTGTAGGGTAGAAGGCTACCAAACTGTACATGGAGTTAAAATCAGTCTGATTATTTTAAGGCTAATATTGAGCTGCCCAAGCAAAGCTCTTTATAATTATTTTGAGGTGAGATCAGATGGACTCCCTCTGGTCCCTTGGTCCTGAGTTCTGCCTTGCTTTGCAAATTTTGAAGCAGAAATATATGTCTTGTCTTGTTGGAAGAGGACATGCTGCTTCATGCTAACTTGGCAAAGAGAATACTTGAGAAGCCTTTAATAAAATGCCGCTCACTGTTTAGGCTGTTTATAAATTAAATGCTCTTATAAATTTAACCCTTTATTTCAGGGCGGGAGGAATTCATTAATTTAAACACTGGCCCCCAAATAATATTATTACCTAACATAGTTTTTAGACATTCCAGAAAGAAATTTGCATACCGGTTGTTAAATTGTTTAATTTTGAACACAAAAGATCAAACCCTGGAGATCTGTCCTCCTTAATTTGTTAACATAAAAATTTCAATAAGGAACTGCTTTTCTGGCATCTATCAGGAAAAAATGGAGGGGGAGCTTTTAGAGACTTTTCAAATTACTGCTAGAGTTTGAATAATATGGTGGTCTACCACAAGTAATCAATGTTCCCAGGCAGGTCACCTTTATTAAATGGACTGTTTGCCAAATAGAAAGTAACTTCCCTTCCTAAGGCTGATGCAGTCTCATTAATTCTTGGTCTCTTGAAGGCCAGGCAAGATGATAAATTATACATGATCTATGTACAGAAGATGACATGTTCTCCTGTAGCTGCGCTCTTCTATCTGGTTGGGATTTATAGACCTTTTATATTAACATTGAAACATTTTATCTTACTAAATATATTTTCAAGTCTTATTGAAATCTTAACTTCTTGGCAGAAATTAAGTAATGGAATGTGTCTGTCAGTGTGGTTTCTTCAGAGTGTGACAAAAGGAAGGGAGCGCATATGGTTGAGAGTGATTTGCCTTATCAATAATGTTCCTCAGAAGTGAATCTTAATGTATGTTTAAAGTATTACTTTTATTAATTTTGATGCTGCTGCCTTTTTCAGTATTAAGATGCCTGTTTTTAGAAAGGAAATTCTGTTACTAACAGGTAGTAGTTAGATTTGTTTCTACAATCAGTACATGGTAAAATAAAATGTACCCTTGTAATGTTTCTCCACGTTTGTTTAGAAATTTTATTGCTTTATGAAACCTCAGTCTTGGAATCACAGTAAGTTCCTCAAATTATTGGGGTATACAACACTTGATGATTCAGTGCATACAGAACTTTAAAAATAATTTTCACTTGTTTTTAGGAAGAATAACATAGTGACTGTTTGGGCCTCACAGTTTGTTCAGCCTCTGTGAGCCTTCATGTGGGTGTGATTCACCCAGAACCCCTTAGTGTACTTTCAGCCGGTATCCAAATTCTTGTCATAGACCCCCGGGCTGCTAAAGAGTAGTAAAAATGTCAACAGTTACATGTCTGAATGAGAAGGACCTGTGACACACCATCTCATTTAATCCTCAAAGTGTCTTTTGAAATTGGTGTAGCAGGTACTATCTATCCTCCTGACTTGATGGACATAATTGAAGCATGTAGAAGTTACTAGTTGAGCAGTATTGCTCAGCTAGTAATGGATAAGGATGTAGCCAGGCCCAGTCACTGAGAAATAATACGTAATGAAGCCCCTACCTTTTGCCGGGCATTGGGCATGGGTTTGTAATGCCGTGTTTGACATTTCTTTCCACTCTCCTCGAGGCTCCAAACATACATGAATTTGTTGTGCTTTTCTTATTCTAGTTGTTCAATTTAAAAAAATTGCCCATTTTTTAAAATAAGAGCAATTTGGATGTTTCTTTAAGAGATTAACATTGCTACTACTTGAATACTAAAAAATCCAGTTGCTTGAAAGCAACAAACATCTTCTGATTCGTGCTTGATTTAATAAAATAACTTTTTATTATTGTAATGAAGATTGGTTTAAATAATAGACGATCTCTATTATGTGGAAAATTACTGTGAGGCAGTTTATCACTGGCAGTCTGTTTTAGTATTTAACTAAAAATGTTATGTAGAACTTAAGCTCCATAGTATTTCTTGCCTTTAGTAGAAAAATATAGAAGCATTTTTGTTAATATGCTATTGTTGTTGAAGAATAGATAGATAGATAATAAACTGTCTAGTTCTCGTAGGCAGAAAAATGTGGCCTAAGTGAAAATGAAACCCCTTCCTATCTTTAATCGCCTATAGTCAAAGGAGTTGGGTAGCCCAACTTTTCTTTGATATTTTTTTCCCTTAACATCTACAGCTGACTCCTGAGTTCTTACAACGCTTGACCAATAAGATTCATGAACTTCTTCAGCAAATGGAAAAAGGCCTAAAATCAGCAGACCCTCGAGATGGCACTGTTTACACTGGCTGGGCAGGTATGAACAGCTGACTATGAGCTGGCATAAGTATCATAATTGAGGGCCAAAGCATTACTTTTCAAGAGCTGTCTGACTGAAGGGTATACCCTTAAATGGTTCCTGCATCTGTATATGAGCAGTTACTTCTGGGAGAATAGTGTGTTCTCAACCCAGCATGGCATCTTATGGATTTTTAATAGTGCCTTGAACTTAGGTCATGATAAGCTTATTCATGTAATTCATGCTTGATATTTGGATGGCTGCCATACTTGTGGGGAGAAAAACTGACATAGTTCATTTGGAAGTGGAATTGCAGTGGGAAGGGTTGGGAAGAATTCTGAAAAATAGTGCCTGAAACAGAGGGAAGGAGGATTTATTCTCAGAAATAAAATATATCCAGAAGCATCATTTTTTGAATAGTTACCCGTAATATGGATCCATACAGAAACATACGCAGGGTAAAGTATTAGTTCCATGAAGTAATCTTTCCATATGATAATTGCTGCTTGGTTTGCCTTCAGTGCAGTGCTTTGGTGTCAAAAAGGCAAGAGAAAAATCAAAGGAGGAAAGTTGAACTGCAGTTTGTTTGCCAAATGTAGAGAGACAAAAGATCGGCTCATGATCCACTTGAAAAAAGCACTCTCAACATTCAGTATTTCCCATTTATTTTGATGAGTGGTTGAAGAGGAACAAGTTTGCAGTTTAAGAAATTTGAATTTGATTTTAAGGCAGTGATGCTTGTCGTAAAAGATCAGGTTTCTGGGCCTTATAGATTCTGATTCAGTAAGGTTTAAACAGGACTCAAGAATTTTACATTTTACCAGCTCCAGTGGTGATCTATGGACTGCTGTTTGAAAGCTTCTGAGAGAATTTAGTAAAATTTATCTCTTAGCAATTCTTTGTAATATAGGTTGAGTGTCCCAAATACAAAAATCTGAAATCCACAGTGTTTCAAAATCCCAAACTTTTTGACTACTGACATGGCACTCAAAGGAATATTTATTGGCATAGTTCAAATTTTCAGATTTGGAATATTTAACTGGTCAATACAAGGCAAATATTCCAAAACTCCCCAACATTTGAAATCCAAAATATTTTTGGCTTCAAACATTTCAAATAAGGGATACTCAACTTAAAATCAGTAGGCTAGGGAAGACTGATAAAATCAGTGAAATTATAATCAGGAATGTTTAAGGTCAGTATTTTATGAAATAAGAAAAATGCCTTGGATAAAGTCAGACCATCCCTTTGATAGTTCAGTTTTATGATTTTTGTGTATTTTAGAGGCTCATCACAGATAGTAAGATGGGAATAAAATGAAAGTATTCAGCTTGAAGAAGAAAATTTTAACAGTTGTCATTTATTGGGTAGCTATTATATTCTAGGTGTGGTGCAATTGGTAGATTACCCTCATTAGAGAATAACTCTGTTTTTTATTTTAAATTATCTGTATTTGAACAAACGGGACAGGTACAATGCATGGTTTTCTTGAGCTTTCCTCTGTCACATTGCAATAATATCTAAGATTCAGACTTACAGATCTTTTCTTAATATATTTAGAGTTTCTACTATTTTGTTATCAGAAATAAATTGCTGGTCTTAATGGCAGGACTTATTATAAGTTACCTCACTTTAGAGGGGAAAATAGTGGGGATTGATTTCAAGTGAAATTAACCATTTGAAAATGTTAGGAAAAGTTAGTAGACCCTTCTATTGCTAGAGCTAGTTGGAAAACCAAAAATAATGCTTCTTTGTAACGAGAAAAGAAATTTCACTCCAAAGTAAAATGCAAATTTGTTTAAATTTTTTGGCTGTGTAGGGTTTCCGGTGTCATTTCCTTTGAAGGCCAGTATCCTTCACCTTTTATCCTTAAGTATCTTTGCTACTCTTTGTTGGCTCCTGAAAGCAGCTTATATGGCAAGTTTCTGAGGCAAATTGGCGTGCTAAGCAGTTTAAGATCTCTTCAGTCGCTGGTTGTTTTATGATGTAGCATAAAACCTTCTAGATAAATTTGCTAATGGCTTTCAAGGCAAGGTTCCTAATGTCTTCTAATCGAACACTGTTAAAAAGCTATTATTCTCACATAACATAGACTGCCCCCTCCAGTGTTTTGGTAAGTAAAGTGCCAGTGTTCAGACAGTCTGGCTAACATAAAGCTCTGAGTTGCATAAGAAACTAAACCTCATTTGACTACAGAAAATCTCCATGTTAAGACTGTATCTTCCTGTTACCTTTTACCTTACCAACATAATTGCAATTTTATTACTGAAAAAATATGAATTTACAAAAAACACAATGAAGATATTTGCTGTTGTATATCAAAACAATATATAATTATGTGTATGTTTCTTTGCGTGTTTTCCATATTATCTTTCAAAAAGTAATACTTTTTAGGGAAAAAAACATTATTTTTTTTAGCTTTGTTCGGCCCCAAATTTTGGGCCATATTTTATAAATATTAACTGTTTGTTCTTGTTACTAATTTGTTAAAAGTTACATTACTTTGAGAAACATTGATTCAAGGTAGAAAATCTATAAAACTTACTTTCTTCAACATTGATATTTAATGAGTATTTGTTGTCAACATACAATGAAAGGTTTTGCAAGTTACTGAATTACTTAGCATATAGTTTGTATGAGAAAACTGCATGATTATTATAATTAGTATTAAAATTACTATCTTGGGTTAATTTTTTTACTATTTAGTTTTTTAATTTTTTTTTTTTTGAGGCAGTGTATCACTTTGTCACCTAGGCTAGAGTACAGTGCATCATAGCTCACAGTAATCTCAAACTCCTGGACTCAAGTCGTCATCCTGCCTCAGCCTCCCTGGTACCTGGGACTATCGGTACCCACTATAAACCTGGCTAGTTTTTCCACTTTTTTGCAGAGATGGGGTCTGGCTCTTGTTCAGGCTGGTTTCGAATGCCTGGCCTCAAGAAATCTTCCCGCTTTGGCCTTCCAAAGTTCTAAGATTATAGACAGGAGTCATCACATCCAGCCTTATTGTGTTAAATTTTACTCTTAGTAGAAATCCAGTCTAATAATTAATGGTGGTTCAGATAGGATTAGGATTTGGGACAGGATTACATTCAGCTGCCTATACTCCCCCAAAAGAAAAGAAAATTATAGGGGTTAGCTGGGTGTTGTGGCGGGCGCCTATAGTCCCAGCTACTCGGGATGCTTAGGCAAGAGAATCGCCGAAGTCCAAGAGCTAGAGGTTGCTGTGAGCTGCGACGCCATGGCACTCTACGGAGGGCGACAAAATAAGACTCCGTCTCTCTTAAAAAAAAAAAAAAAAAAAAGAAAGAAAATTATAGGGGTTAAATGAGACAGTGTATTTTTCTGTAATGTAAACCAAAGCAAGAGGGAAGCGATCCAGGGCTAATATGGTGGCCCCAGGATATCAGTAGGAACCCAGGCTCCTTTCTGCTCTATCATTCCTCAGCCACTGGCTTTTACCTCGATGAAGAGGGCTGCTGAAGATGTAGTCATTACATCAGCTTTGGGGACCTCTGGAAAGAAGAAGGGGCAAAGAAGAACGCATTCCCTCCCTTTACAAAGACTTCTTAGAGTCCCATTTAGCATCTCAGTTCTGCTTGCTTTGTGTTACCTATCACATAGTTACTCATCTTAGCAAAGGAGAATGGTGAATGTAGTCTGTTACCTGGAGTTCTGTTACTAAGAGAGTGAATTTGGGGGTAGAGAAAACTTTGTAGTCTCTGCCATAATGCCTATATAGCAAGGAAAATGATTCTCTTCTTTATTCCTATGTTTTGTACAAGGCATTTGGACAGTGAGCCCCAATTTTATTCTATCTGCAAAAGGACCTATAACTTTGATCCACTTTTGAGAGATTTTTGTAAATAAATTTACTAATGTCAATAAAATATTTTGAAATTTGATAGCAATGTTTTCCTGCTTTGTTTCAAGGGAGACTTATTTGGATTTTGATTCAAAACATATTTTTGTAAGTTTTTTCTTCATTTTAATGCATAATCTTTTCCTAAAGCCTACCATAGAAAGGAAATATTACAGAAGTGCCAAATTATAAGTAATTTTTGTAGAGCTACATGTAACTTAAGTCCAGATGGGCTGCAAGTGATTCTAGAATCCTGTGCAATAGTGGTAACTTGGTTGAACAATTCTTTGTCTCCTCTTTTCTACTTTCTCTCAAATCTTGTTTACTGTTGCAGAATTATGAAATCTTTAATGTGTACCAGGTATCATTTCATACTAAAGCTCATGGTATGTCAGTGTTTCTACTTCATGAGTCTAAAGAAAGCTACCAAACTAGGCTGCCCAACCTCTTAATGCTTCATTCATGCTGTAGCTAGATTTGTCTCAGTTGATCTTGAAAATGAAATGTTTCCAGGTGGCGCCTGTGGCTCAGTGAGTAGGGCGCTGGCCTCATATACTGAGGGTGGCAGGTTCAAACCCAGCCTCAGCCAAACTGCAACAAAAAAAATAGCTGAGTGTTGTGGCGAGCACCTGTAGTCCCAGCTATTCAGGAGGCTGAGGCAAGAGAATCGCCTAAGCCCAGGAGTTGGAGGTTGCTGTGAGCTGTGTCATGCTGCCACGGCACTCTACTGAGGGCAACAAAGTGAGACTATCTCAAAAAAAAAAAAGAAAATGAAATGTTTCCAGTGAAAAGATGACCCGCCCATATGTGTTTACTGTTGAATGTGTACAGTTGTCATTTGAACACGTGTGGGTTGGGAGCAAAGTCCATGTATAACTTTGACTCTCCAAAATCTCAGCTCCTCATAGCCTACTGTCAACTGGAAGCCTTACCAATGTCATAAAGTTAATTAATATGTATTTCATATGTTGTATGTATTATAGCCATATTCTTATAATAACATAAGCTGGAAAAGAGAAAATGTTATTAAGAAAATCATAAGGAAGAGAAAATCTATTTTCTATTCATTCAGTGGATGTGGATCATCATAAAGGTCTTCACCAGTGTCATCTTCACTCTGAGTAGGCTGAGGGGAAGGAGGAGAGTGGGGCTTGGT